ACTATAGGAAGGGTTCCTTTTTTCAGCTATGCCATTCCAGGCAGGAAGGACTTTGCAGCCCATGGAAGGGACACGGGAGCAAGACCCAATGATAGAAAACCACCTGGTTGTGAAGAAAGGAACAAGTCCTACTCCCCATGAAGTTAATGGACCAACAAAATGTACAGAAAGGATAGGGATAAACACAGAGCATAATTTTCAGTTTGTCCTGTGGCATACAGTGCTGAAAATTATACTTAATACATAAACCTCTGTACAGCTCATCGAAAAATCAGACTGAGCAATAGCAGCCACTTTATTCCCAGCTGTGATTCTGGGGTTACCGCACTGTCTGCATTGACAGTTTATAAAGTCCATAATACGAGATGGTTCAACTCCCAAGCACTGTAACTAGAAGAAATAAAACACTAATCCGATTGTAAATTTTAAAACCTGTGTCAGAGCAATTTCACCTTCTTACACAATTTCCAGATCAAAACTGCGCCTGTTAGCGGGTCTCTTCTACCGCAGGTAGTGTTCCCAAGGCAGCTGAGATAATGACACAGGGAAGGGCTGTGGCAAAGCCCTGCGGGCACAAAAGGAAGTGGTTCTGCATGCAAAAACACATTGCAGGTGGCCAGCTTTAACAGTGTTCAAAAAGGGTTAAAAAAAAAGATGTTTCGTCTAGTCTTGTACAAAGTAATAAAAGCAAAGCCATCCTCTCCAGGTAAGGATTTCTCAGTGTGTTTGTTACCTTTGATCAAGGCATCTGAAATTACCAGCTGAATGTTCTTGGTTCTTTCACAGAAAAAAAATGACATTAAATATGATTATATATGTTTAAATCTCCCATGGAGTCTTTCTCTCTCTGCAATAGTTCTCTTGTTCAACTACACTTATTCACAAGGCACCAACCTAGTGTTTGGAAGCAAACTTATTTTCTACAGTTAATCTGTTTTCTCTTTTAACATGAACAAAATGGGGCTCTTATGAGCATTTCTTTTAGAAGAAATAGATAATAGGTTCAGACCTATCTTTGTAAATAAACAGGATTGATTAAATGTATAAATTCTGTTCTCCTTGAACATCAAACACCATACAATAAGAGATAATTTTGTTGACAGTTTGGTATCTCTTTCTGCAGTAATCTGACCTGTAATTTCTCTCAGGTTTCTTTTCATCACAGAATTATAGGGACTTCTCTGGCGATACCTGTGGTTTCATTCCCCGTTGTGCTTTTTCTTTTATGTCTGTGCTTATTTGGTGCGTTTGCTTTTTCTCTTCCAAACACCCTGGTTAGATCAGATCAATCCCTCACTCCGCATCGCCATGCAGGTGTTACTGGAAACGAGCAGTTCACATAACTCAGCCTTGCCAACAGCCTGTTTGGGATGGCAAGGAAGTTGGGGAGGATCCACCTCTTCATTTTGGCTGAATGAAAAACAGCCGTCGTGCCCATTTGTGTCCTCCAGGTGCCGTTTGTTCGTTTTTCTAAATTCTCAACAAGCAGCGGATAGGGTAGACCCATTATTTTTGACGAAATACACCACAGTGCCCCCAAAGCCTGGCACTGCAGGAGACACCGCATACATGACACAGGAACACAGCGGCAGCAACGAGCATCTCCCTGGCCCTGTAGAGCTGTGAGGGCGAGACGGCTGCTCGGGATCTGGCTGGATCTCTCCTGTGCGCAGCAGGACTGAGGCAGACACAGAACCTGTGCTGCACAGCCAGCACCGGCTCCGGTTCGGATCTAGCCTTCATCTCTAAAGATCCAGGTGATATTTGGCTATTGTCTGCCCTTCCTGATAGGCCTTTAACTGTGCAACACAGCTATAATAAAGTAAGTTACCATTATTTATTCGTGTGATGGCCTATTCGCTAACGGGAATCACAGGAAAACTCACACCCATACATATTTGGTATGAAATTACAGCACCCTCCCTCCAGTGCTTCTATTGTGTAAGCAACCTGGAAAATGGATAAAGGAAAATAAATAGCCTGGTATCTTTTCCCATTTTTACTGACGGACCTGAAACATCAGATGTGTTTGGCTTACTGCAAATCCATCCATGCAGGTTTCCAGCACATGCTCTTCGGATGCTCCCATAGCTTTGCCCTTCCAAACGCACAAAGCCAACATACGTTGCAGGCAGTTGCCAACAGCAGCGTGTGCAAGTTTCCTGCTCTCCCACATTATTTTCAGCGCTCTCTGGTGTCTCCACATTTTATTTTAAGTAGCTCTAACAGCCAAGAGTATTAAATTGTCTTGCAGATACTGCCACCTGCTGTGACTAAAGAAAACTAAAATCGGATCATTCCAGTAGATTTCAGCCTCAAAAAAAAAAAAAAAAAAAAAAAAAAAAACAGGCCAAAACTTGCATTCAGGCATGTTCACCATAAAACTGAAAAGCTACTGGCTTCAGTCTACACATAAGCATTGGATATAACCACTAAAGTTTTTTTTTTTTTTTCCCCATGACCTCCTTGCAAATTACTTATCCTCACGCAAACCACATCTAAACCATCATTCCGACTCAGGAGCCCACTTCGTGCAGACCTCTCGGCGTATGCACACACATGCAAACCCACAGAAGACGTGGTGAAATGTGGGCTCGCAGGGTAAAAAGGACGAGCCCGGGTCTGCTCCTTCGGCTCAGAGCAGCCAAGAGCGCGATTTGGCCGCAAAACTCCACCTGTCTCGAGACAGGATTTATCTGGGAAAACGCAGCCCCCGCCTGGATTTACGCGCTGCTCCGAGGGCAGCCGTGTCCCCAGCACTCGAGTGAGGCCCACTTGGCCGATGCCTCTGCTGCTCAGCTCGGAGCGGCCGCTTTGCCTTCGCCCTGATTTGCACCCGGCAAAGAAGAGGAAATCCCACAGTCTGCATTAACCTTGGGGAAAAAAAAAAAAAGAGAGAGAGAAAAAATAAAAGAGAGAGAGAGAGAGAAAAGGGGAGAGTTGGGGAGAGAAAAAGCGATATAGAGACAAAACCTCGGCCGGGCGGGCAGAGCTGGCAGACCCCGCCCCGGCAGCCAGGAGGAGCCCCCTGCGCTC